CCACTTGGTTCGTTTTCTCTTTTCTTTTATGCTGTGTGTGTGTGTGTGCGTGAGCATGTGCGTGTCTCAACTGTGTGAGCTGTTTCGTTTCTTCAAAAACGTTTTAATCAAAAACATCATTTCCGTATGTGACCGTTGTTTTATAGTACTCTATACTCTGCTTTTTTAATGTTCATTATTTTCATGAGAAATAAAGCATTGGATTGTAACAAATAAAAATAACGCATATATCTGGAGTTCATTTTTATTTAGCAGAGAACCGCGAAGAGTAGTAAAATAGACATTAGACTACAGTAATAACGTTAAATATACTCATGTAGTTTTGCCTACTTCTAAGATGTTTGTTTAATGGTAACATTTTTTTATCGTTATCCTTTAAGGACTAAGGATAAACTTCATCACTTGATAAAATATCAGAAGAATAAATGCTTTATCAACCTGTATCTAAGTGTATTAAATGATTTTTGGAATAACTATTTTAAGTACATCTTCAGACCTGACAAAACATTTGTCCTACCAGTCATCGATTTTATCAGACAAAAAAAGTTGCGCAATAATCGTTTTACTTTCGTATTACCTACTAATGTTGTTATAGTAGCTGATTTTTAACTAAAAAAACATCTTGCGAGAAGAAGTAAGTTTATTTCGTGAAGAGAATAAGTGATTCCTGGGATAACAGAATATAGTTTTAATTATAGTTTTTGATGCCTTGGAGGACCTGTTGGTTGTATTATGGTCATATTGTTTGACAATACTCATTTTTCTCTTTTACGTGTGTGCTTGATCTAAAAATGTATTTTATCTCGATAAGACATTATTTGCATCAACGAACATCTCTGAATTAAGATGAATTTTATAAGTCATGAATGACTCATACCATACGACTGCAAGCCGATCATAGAGTAAATCTTGGTGCCTCTTCACTTGATTGCACTCTCATACTGATGCGTTTTCAATTACATTATTTATTTTCAGACTATTTAGAAACTTTTCAACTATTTATGATACTACCGTTCACAATTAATGGTTGGTAATTTTTTATTTTAATTTCAAAAAGCTCTTCTGTTAGTCGTTGATATTTTAATTTTATTTTACCTATATACGTCCCAGCAGGTAAACGTTCAGTATGATGCTAAACATTTGAACTAAGTTGAACTAAGACATATTGTGCTTGAAGTGTTTCAATTAATTCCCACTAATTGATTTTTCTTTAAAAGTACGTTTTCTCAATTAGTTCGTATGATATCAGGCATCCCCATTTCTTCCAATCTATGATGAAGTAGTTGATGCTACACTATTACGTATATGACATAAAATGCGACAATTTTATTATTATTTTTTAAACACCTGGTTCAATTGACACTATGATGTTGAAATATGAAATGTTTGTGGCCCAGATAGGCAAAGAAATAATAATGTTGAATGGTGATACTCTAAATTGTCACGTTTACTGCAAACACAAACGACTGTATGGCGATTAATTGAAACACTTTAAGCACAATATATCTTAGTTCAACATGATATTGAACGTTTACGTGCTGGGTCAAAAAAATTCAAAATATCAATGACTAAATAGAACAGTACAACGTATAATAGATGACTTTTCGTGTAGGTCTAACTCAACCGTCAGATTATCTTTTGGCAATTGGACGATGCTTTGCTGCTGCTCAACACGCATAGTTACTTTCTTTTACAATGAAATTATGTTATCAAACTCATACTCATAAGCTTTTTGAGACTAAAAGAGAATTACTAACCACTAATGCTGGTATCATAAACATTTCAAAAGTTTCTAAATAGTTTGAGAATGAATGGTATAATTGAAAACGCACCAGGATTAGAACGCACTCAAATGAGACGTATTCATGGGCTACCTCTTCGTTGATAAAATAGAAAAAAAACAAAAAAAACTTTTGCCTTTCGTAAATACCTTTTTCAATTTTGTACAGTGTTGTTTGTGCTTTTTAGTTGACCACCAGGTTAACCTCTGAGATGTGATATCAATTATAAAAATGAGCAGCACAGTTCACGCCGATATACGAACTGTTGCAAATCTTTGTTTGGAACTATGCACTGTCTTTATGCTAATGGCGTAACGAGAAAAACGACGGTAGTACGGCGGCGCACTAGTTTTTTTCAAACATCTGTTTAGGGTAGCGTAAGTTATTTTTTTACCCGATTTTATACTTTTTCTCGGTGGCACGGCAAAAATTCCCGATGGTACGGCGTCGCCGTACTTCGCCGTGTGATTACGCTACTACTTTATGTTCTTCTTTTTTCTTCAAATAACGCGTTTATCAAACCAAATCACCACTTAAATTCGTCATTCATATGCACAAACCTCATGTCTTTCGAATTTGAAAAACTAGTTTTATTTTTCTATTCATTTCATGTGTTAACATCTAAAGTGGCCTGTTGCAACTAACATAGGCAGCGTGTATCGAAGAATTGACTCCCTGTAAATGCTTATATAAGATGCGTCAATTCAAAAAGATAGCATGTTTTTTCTTTCGTTCATGTTTTGCCATGGTTGGATAGCGCTCATCGAGTTACCTAGAAAAAACTCGATTTCACATTTCCCGAAGGCATTTTTTTATGACAGCATTTCATTAGACAACATTTATTTTTCCATTGAAAACTGAATCGAGAAAGCCAATTTTGGGAGGGAAATTTAGAATCTAAAGTGAACCCAGAATCTGCAAAGTACGAACAGAATGGTAAAGAGGCTATCAGCCAATTTTGCAAATCTACCTAGTCCTGGGAATTCTTTCTTTATGTTTGAGAAAGGCTCGTATTTTGCCGTTTCGTCTGTCAACGTTGAGCTTTTCAATAAAAATAATGTCATTTCTGGAATCAGCATTGAAGATTGAGTTGAAACATGTGTGTTCTTAACACATGAAGGCAATCGCATTAATCACGTTTTATCTTTTTTTTATTGTTTCTATTTTTGTTGAAGAAATCGAATAATAATGCTGTCGATAAGTTTGCTATCATATTCGTCACAGATAGAATAAACATAGGTTTGATGACGAATTTGAATCATAGTATCAAAAGAAGCAATCATTCTGTTGCCTTTTGTTGGATAGCCACGGCAGTTGTAATGAAGAGTAACAACATTTTAAAAGCCGTTTAGAATGTATCAGAAATCTCTACTGTTTTCCGAATTGGTACCCTGAATACATTTGGATTCAAAACATATTTATTTTAGATGATAAATGAAATGAACAGAAAAATGAAACTAGTTTTTTAAACTAGAAAGACATGAGATTCGTGCATATGAATGACGAATTTAAGTGGTGATTTGATTTGATAAAAGCGTTATTTGAAGAAAAAAGAAGAGCGTAAAGACAGTGCATAGTTCCAAACAAAGATTTGCAACAGTTCGTATATCGGCGTAGATTGTGCTGCTCTTTTTTAAAAGTGATATCACATCTTAGAGCTTAACCTGTTGCAGTAATCAATTTTTTCTGCGTTTTGTTTATTTTTGATTGTATATTACTTTTACTATTTTTTTAATGGTATAGAGGTTCGTAATGAAATATCGATTCACTAATTTTTTCTCAAATCAACAACAGAAAGCTAATCTCATGACTATTATATGAGCATATTATAATGAAGACAAAATAAAAGATGTTACATGATAAAGATGAGTAATCTGAGTTTGCTGAGTGAAATAATGACTATACGGCTCGATGACCTCGTGACATATGATTAACAGTACAATTCTAGAACGTTTTCCTGATCATAGGAGAAAGGATTTGAAAGTAGAAATTTTAATATGCATTTAGCGAGCTCCAGAAGTATTTTAGATTGTTGAAGTTATCATTAAGAGTCAACAGGTGAGGCATCGTTTCAGCGGAGTCATGCTTTCAAGGGAAAAAGGGCGACGAGCAGGTTAAAGTAGTTTTTATTTCGTCGTTTCGTATTTTTCTTTCTTGACATGTCGCACGTGATTGTTTGTTTAGCAAAGAACTATACATTGGTATTAGAACAACCTGACCATCAGCGAAAATTGACAAAGAATGTCATGCATGCTCATTCTCTATACTATTCATGTATAACTTTAGATAATGCTTTAAATGAACGAGGAAAAGGTTCATTTCGAACGGGGCAACGTTTATATCCATGAACGTCCTGCTATTGATCCCAAAGGCACAGCACTTGACGAAATTGGTGGTACCATATATTTAGTGGAAAATGAAAGAGGAAAATTTCTTCGTTTCACCCCGCTAGGACTTGAAAACATTAACCATGCTGTAACAGACGAATGGGCAATGGTAAATGGACACTCTGTTGTATCTTACAACAAAAGTGGGAATCCTGATGCCGGTAAAATATTTATTTCGAGCTTGAATAGTAATATTATATCTTAGTAGGTGTTTTTTTTCGCTTTTTTCCTTAGAATCATTGTCATTCAATAATAGCCCATTGTTAAAATATCGTTTACAATTTAATTTACAAGATTTGAGGAGCATTAGACGTCATCACATGTTACATGGAATTGCTCATATGATATTTATCTTGAAAGATGGTACCACATTACCTGCTTTTTACTTTCATCTTGGCGGTTCTAAAAATTTACTTCAACAAATTGCACAATATCTTCGATTAGACAAGTAAGTTCATTTTTAATAGGTCACTAAGAAATCAAATAAAATCTTAGTATATCTGTTTAGGTCAGCTCAAGATGGTCGTCTCTATATTGTTAAAGATGATATCTTACCACAACGGAAAGAAAATGCACAAAATATCAGTACTTTTGATCAATTACATCTATTTGATAATTCAAATGATAATCTGAGAAGATTTGTACATTTTTCATCAGTTTTCTTCTTTCTATAATAGCTAGTTATTTCACTTTTTTCTATAGAAATTAGGTCATGATTCAAAGCGGTCAGCTATGGAGCGTTTTTCAAAAGTAACTCATTTTTTACGTGATGCATTCTTGGGACCGAATGAATTTATATCAACTGGAGAAAGTGCAGAAGGTGGTATTGCACCAGATTTAAATTCGTTACTTGAATCATTCAATGGACATTGTGACTTGCGTGAATCAAATAACGATGGTTTCGAAGTTATTTACAAGGTTAGTCAAAAAGAACATTTTTAACGTCTTCTGGTATGACCTGACTGCATTGAATACATTTCATTGCAACTTTGTTGCACGTGTTACTATGTTTTAGGTAGATTTCAAAAAATTGCCCGATATCACTCGTTGTGCCCCGATTACAATTAAAGAATGGCAGGCATTATTCAATAAAGATGGGAAAATTATTGAGCCCGAAGTAGTCAAAATACGAATATTTCGTGGCGGACTTGAAAATTCGTTGAGAAAAGAAGGTTGGAAATTTTTGTTACATTATTATCCATGGGATTCGAATGAAAAATCTCGTATTGAGATAACAAAACAAAAGCAAAATGAATATTTTTCAATGAAATTACAGTGGAAATCTATGAATGAACAACAAAAACAACGAAATAATTTATTTCGTGACCGTGAAAGTTTGATAGGTTTGTTAACTGTTGAGAATGTTTACAGTTTGTTTAACAAAAATGTTTATTCTAATTTAGAAAAGGATGTGATGCGTACAGATCGTACACTGGAATATTATCAAGGCGAAACAAATGTACATTTGGAAGTTTTACACGATATTTTAATGACTTATAATATGTATAACTTTGATTTGGGTAAGGGAAAATTTTTTTTCAAACGTGGACGCTAAAATATTGACGATATATATTGTGTCTATTTTAGGATATGTTCAAGGTATGAATGATTTACTTTCACCAATATTAATTGTGATGGATAACGAAGTTGATGCATTTTGGTGTTTCGTCGGTTTAATGGATCGAATGGTAAGTCAAATACGTTTTTTTCTCTAGAAAAGATTGATATATGCCATTTGTTTTCAGGGTGATAATTTTCACATGGATCAAAGTCATATTAAACGACAGTTATCAAATCTTCATACATTATTACAATTTATTGATGCTGAATTAGCCAACTATTTAGGTATATAAAAAATACAAAAATTTAACACGAAATTCGTTTTATTTTCTATTTATTTCTTTAGCTGACAATAATTCCAGCAATATGTACTTTTTTTTTCGTTGGATGTTAATTTGTTTTAAACGAGAATTTTCATTTCAAGATGTAATGTTATTATGGGAGGTAAAGAACATTTGTAACTTATCTTGAATTGAATATTTAACAGTTTATTTTGTTAAATTAGGTTTTATGGACAAATTATCCGTGCAAAAATTTTGAATTACTTGTTTGTCTTGCCATTCTAATATCTCAAAAAACTGTTATAATGGAATCAAAATTTGGTTGTAATGAAATATTAAAAGTAAGTATTTTTTTTCAAGACTTTTTCTTTAAAAAGAAGCATGATAAGTATGATGTGTGTACGTGTGACTATGAGAACAAAAAAAAAACAAAAAACCAGTGTGCGCCCTGATATTGTTTATAGCATATCAACGATTTATCATTTAAAGTACAATTAGAACCATTATTGAGACAAGCTGAAGGTTTATATATACTATTGAAAAAACATGAAGAATCAACTCCCGGTCTACCGCCAGTCATTTCCTCGATTATGTTTCCAAATGTGAAAAAGAAAAAAATACGAAATCCTAACTATAATGATGACGATGAATCAGATGCTACCTCCACAATCTCTTCGACATCTTCCAGAACTCATTCACCATCATATGGAACAACTCGTACACGACACCATGTAGAATCACATACAATTAATGAAAATGACAGTGCTGTTGTTACTCATAGAAGTTAATTTATACATATACTTATATACAACAAATTCTATTTCTAGTTTCCTATTTATAATCACTGTAAAAGCAGTTTTCGTGTACAATTTTACCAATTATATATACATATTTATTTGTACGATGAAATTTTGTTCAGTGTGTGATCATCGAGAAGAAATTTTTTCAGGACTATCTATCTGAAGAGCAACAATTAGCAAACAAAAAAATATTCTGCAGGTTTTTTTGCAAAAAAGAACGAAAAATCATGCGAGAAAAAACGGTCTGAACACTTGTGAGGTTTTTTCAAATTAGCACGTCACATGTAAATCAGCGTAAGACAAGATCACCGAATGCAATTAGATGAAAGAGTTGTGCCACTACATTTAAGTGCCCTTCTTATAAGCACCAATATCTCTTTATTTTGTTAATTCAGAACGGCAAAAAGTAAACATTTTTCTGACATTTTTCACAAATTTTCTTCAACGTTATTTTTGAAAAAATCTTGTTTTTATTGTTCACATTGTATCTACTAGATGGAATGTTATTTTTCTCCTTTTTGTTTTCTTCTTCCATTTATATTTACTGTATAAAAGTGCTACGGACTGCTGTTAATTTTCCCTCTTACATTGATCTTACACAAAAAAGAACATCCATTATCAATTTATGTTTTCGACTGTTTATTTTGTCGTTTTTTTTTCAATTATTGAAATAAAACTACTACATTTACTTGTCAGAATTTTTTGTTTTAGATACTTTTGTAATAGTTATTATAATTTTTTCTGAGTTATCATGAATGAAATAGAAGATAAGCAGAAAAATGAAAAGAATCAAGAAGGAGAAGAAGAAGAAGAAGAGAATGACGACGAATATAAACCAAATGATGTAGAATCAAATGATAGCTTTGATAATGAATCTGAGAATGAAGAGTTTGATTTGGAACAAGGAGAAAAAACTGATCAGAACTTCACGTCTAAACGAAGTACACGTCAAAATATTATGAATAACAATAATAAACAATCTGAAAGCGAAAAAATTTCAACCATTTACGATAAATCAAAAGCTGACTTATTATGGGAAAATTTTAAGCCATCATCCACATTACCGTCAATAACCTGTATATCATCAAAAACGACAACCACAATATCACAAACTGTTTCTGACACTATAATTCCAGAAAAAGCGACAAAAATCTACGAATTTGCTGGTGAGACCATTATTATACCCTCCATTCCAACATCTTCATCCTCGTCCACCACTTCTTTTGTTCCAACTACTATTACTAGTACTTCTTCCAAACCAATAACAACAACAACACTGGAACGTTCGTGTGGTGGTAGTATTGGTGCAAATGCTTTACTCGATCAGTTGGGTATAAATAAAAAACAAAAATTATCAACATTGGAAAAAACGCGTCTCGATTGGAATCAACATAAATCAAATGAATCATTGACAGATGAATTAAATATACATCGACGTGGAAAAGATTCATATGTGGAAAAAGTGGCATTTTTACAACGTGCTGATACACTCGAATATGAACATCAACGGTCAAATTTTAAAAAAAAATGAACAATTATCACTCACTACTTTTTTTTGTATTTCTATTTTAATTTTGTTGTGTTTTCTTGTTATTAACAGATAAAATAGTGTTTTTCTGAGCATAGGATAAAAAATTTACCTAGTAAAATTAAATGTAAAAAGTTTCAAATGGATACCAAAAGTCTTGGTGATCAACAATTTTGTTTATATGCCGCTGTTTCCTTTCTAAAATCTTTACTTCAACAGAAAGTGTCATTTATCTTTTCATTTTCTCGTTAAGTCAATGATATGCTCTTCAGATGTTTCCGCATGCACTATTTCAAACATTGAAAGATCAACCTTAACAATAGTTGTCTGAAGTTTATGAATCAATCGAAAACGTTTTATTTTATATATATTTTTTTGATTTTGTTTAGTTTTTTAACGATTTGTCGTACAATATCAATCTTGATACATGTTTATTATCAGCTGAAACATTATACAAACAATTATCTGAACATCGTGATGTTCCTACATCGATTGCAAATCTTTTGGCCATTAAAGAATCAAAGATATTATTATCATCAACATCACAAACTATCGTTTCTTCATCTTCGACAGTCAACAACAATCCTAAGATATTGACACAACCCCGTGGCACAATGAATTTGGATAATAGTTATTTTCGTCAAGAATCTGAAGAATCTTTTCCCATGTATACGAACAAGATGCCAAAATCACTTGATGCACTCCTAGATACTTCAATGACACCGTTCATGGAAATTTAATACAAATCTATTTTTGTTTTCAATTTGTCTTTCCATTAATAGATCGAATTTTTAACGCTCTTTTACTTTCTGTTGTACATATCGTCAGTTTCATTTGATTAAAAAAAAAACTCACATTTTTCTTGTCTCATATTGTCTACTTTATTTTGTTGATTTTGTTTCGAGGTTTTATGTCAATAAAATTACGGAGCTTTGGCTTTTTACCATGCATTTTTTTTTCTTCTTTTTCCTAATTAGTCCAAACACATTGTAGTAGATAGTTTTTATTCAGAGAGAGTAATTTCAAAATAAAATAGTCTAACAACAATGTATAGAAGCATCGATTTGGTCTGTCTGTTTATTATTTAATCGTTTCAGATTAAAAAATTGCTGTATTGTTTGCTTGTCTCTTTTTCAAAAGTTATGTATAAATTTATTGAACGATGAACCGTAGCATATCATTTAAAGTTGTTTTATTAGGAGAAGGAGCAGTTGGAAAGGTAAGAATTTCTTAGTATTTTGTTTTGGACAGAGAAAATAAACAAATTTCCCACTTTAGACGTCAATTGTTTTACGTTATACTGAAAATTTATTCAATGACAAACATCTGGAAACACAACAGGTTAATTTATATTAGTAAACTGTAATAATTTTTTTTTCAATCGCCTTTCTACTGTGTTTCAGGCGTCATTCAAAACAAAAAAATTGACATTGGACGGCAAACGCGTTGAACTAGCAATATGGGTAAGAATAGACTCAAAAATAAAAAGTAATATTTATGCTCTTTTTTTTTTAGGATACAGCTGGACAGGAAAGATTTCGGTAAGAAGAAAAATTACATTAAAATTATAATTAATATAATAATTTATTATATTTGTTTAGAGCTTTAGGACCACTTTATTATCGAGATAGCAATGGTGCAATACTTGTATTTGATATTACAGATGAAGATTCATTTGAAAGAGTGAAAAGTTGGACAAAAGAATTGAGACGTATACTTGGAAATGATTGTGTATTATGTATTGTCGGCAATAAAATTGATCTCGAAAAAGATCGACATGTTCCGATGCAAATAGCAGAAGACTATGCAAAATCAGTTGGTGCTAAACTATATCATACATCAGCAAAATCAAACAAAGGAATTGAAGAATTATTCAACGATTTAGCACAAAGTAAGAAAAGTTTTAATGTTGAAATGATTGTTCTATTTTATCCAAAACAGTTTATCTAAAATTTTGGCTATTTATCGGGTGCACCATAATGAATGAATCTTTCAGTATTTTTCTTTTTTAAGATCTTTTTTAATAAAATAGATTTCAGTTTAGTCTATGGCTGCTGTTAATTTAAAAAAGAATATTCTGATCAGTATTTTCTATTTTTTTCGTGTTTCATTAGGATTCTAAGATTAGTGTTTTATTAAAAGATGCGCCGCGAAATACTCTGCTAAACCATACCTAAACATTAATTTCAAGCAGACTACGTAAATCATTCAATCAAGCAGACTACGTAAAAAATGAAAACGTTCTAAACTCAAAAACGATTTCGTGTATTACCTTTTAAAAGTAACAAAACCTAAATTAGCCGCCCTAACTTCGCTGTATCTTTTAGCTACACTTCGCATTTTTCACATCAAAACCCATGGAGAAATAATAATTTTTCTGTTGGTTGTCACGTATTTTTTCATTAATTTTTTAAATTCTGGGTATAGCGGTGCTTTTAGTAAAAGTCCCATAACTCCATCAAACACAAAAGTTGGGTTTGTTTTGATCAGAAATGATTGCTCTTCTCTATCTAAGTACAACATTAAATCTTCGATCATGTTTCCGTTTCTTGCTTGAGCATATTGTTGAAATGGGAGATAGTCAATTTTTCATAAAAAATTTTTTACAGACCACGAGAAAGAGCACATTCAAAAGTACAAAAAGAACTGAGTTCTCACTTTTTTTACGGAAACAATAGCAGAAGACAAAAGTTTAAGTCGAAAAAAATATCAATTTACATTTCATTTTTTTCGCTTTTCGTATAATTTACGTAGTCTTCTTGATTGAAGTTATGGAATAAAGCTTAGGTAAGGTTTAGTAGAGTATTTCGCGGCGCATCTTTTAATAAAACAGTAATCTTAGGATCCTAGATAGATACGAGTAAAATAGACGTTTCATTATGACGCATCCAATAATGATGGTAGATTCAGTCTTAGTATAGAATGTAGATAAAGTTCAAAGATAATCTTTCAAGTAAGTAAAGATAGCACGTTCAAAACTGAAAATCGATCTTTGTACTAGATATAAAGAATTAATGTAGACTTGCGACAGCTCACGGTTTTCGTTCTTTGAACGAGAAATTGTTGATACTCTCGTTCTTAATGCTTTTTCAACTTGTTTGCTATATTAATAAAAAATAAACCAATAAAACACTAGGAGTGAGAGCATTAACGGTTCATCGTTCAAGAACAACTATACCACTCCTCCTATTCGAAGAAATTAGAACTGCTGAATCGGTTCTCCTTCTTGTGAACGTGAACTATTAAACTGTTTCTAGTTCATGAACGAAACGTGTTTGAAGCCAATATCTTTTAAATCCTTTCTTTTCTGTTAATGAATACCGTTCTGATATATTTTATAGGACTGTTAGAACGTTTACCCGCAACAACGGGTGGGACAGACGCTGTTAATGGTCCGAATCGTATATCAACAGGTAAACCACGTGGTATTGCTATAGAACAATCATCAACTGAACAAAATAATGGTGGACGTTCGGGTGGAGGCTGTTGTTCGTAGTGTCTGTTTGAGTATGGTTAGTTTCTTCCATTTTCTTGTAATGATAATTATAGTAAAAAAATGTTAACGAATATCGATGAACAAAAATTGGATTTTCTTAATTTTAAAATTTGTTTTTGTTATTTTTTTGTTATCATATTAAGCAGCATCTTAAATGATATCCATATTTTAAATCAAAACTATTGTTTTTTTTCTCTCTATTTTGTTAACTATGTTTATTTTGATATATCGCTAAGTTAAATATATATTTTTCTCTTCTTTTACGTGTTTATCTGTAAAAAATAAAAAAGCAAACATTAGTACATAACAAAAAATATATGAAACTTATTATTGATGAAATTGTCACATACAGTGGCGGATCTAGAAAAAATTTTTGGTGTTGATGGATTTGGACAAAAGAGCAAGTTTAACAACTTTGCTTAGGAGTTTCTAGACGACACGATTTTTACTTCTTTTACTTTATTACGATGTTGCACAAGAAGGAGAGTATAATAGTATAAAATCAAAAATTTCGGTGCTGGGAGCCGCCAGCACCGTCAGCACCCTAAATCCGCCACTGGTCACATAGATAATATTTTGTTCGAAATTCAGTACGATCTTATTTGTTAGAGCACTCCTACGGGAGATAGAAACACACTGCTGCTGTTAAAGCTGGAAAGAAAAAACTGTACTCCGTTGACTTAGCCAGCTGTCCGGAGAACTAGTAAAACAAATAATAATCATAACAAGCATGAATAAAATTGAAAACCTAGCTCCATCGTGTTCTTTGTCCATTTCAAAAAATATAGATTATAATTGATTATGGGAAATATAGTATAAATATAATTATACGTATTCTTGGAAGAAGAAGAATATCCCGCCTTGCATCTATTGTTGCCAGTGTAGGATGCTGACAAGTCAGACTTATTCATCAACATACATGTTGGTAGAAGGCTAGTCTGACGCAAAATTTTTTCTTATTACTCAGTTTACCATACACGTTTAATAACTATGTTCTCGCTTTTTGGTAAGCCTGAAAAACCGTGACGAACATCACAACGTAGAAGTATACTATCAGACGGATAATCCTAGACAAAAGTTGGCATATGACTTGCAGGTGTCGAAGTTCGAACACAGTATTTATAAGATATGTGACTAAACAACGTAACCGTCCAGACAAGCTGTTCAGATGTTCTTAATAGGTGTAACGTTTAATCTTGTTTGATGTGCTCTTAATTCTTCATTATTGAACTGTGAGTAATTTCTTGTGTCACCTAAATTTTTATATTGTGGAATAAATGGTGGAGGATATTTTTTATCGTAAAGTTCATCCCATTTAATATTTTTAAACCAAGGATCAATTCTTAAGCTTGACGCTCCACCATTAAAACCTATAGCAAAAACGACATAAGAATTTAACTACAAAAGTTATTAACATCTGCAATGTACCCAGTCTTTGAGATATTTCTCTTCTTAATAATTTTCTAATTAAACTACTTGCATGGTTACTGCATTGTGGTGGAATGACAATTGGTGAATGAAGAATGCTACGGAAAACGCTGTCTAAATCATGCATGACGTTGAATGGAGTGTGTCCGCTAAATAGTTCACTTAAAAAAAAACGACCAAGTATTAAGGTGCTGGCAATTCGAAAATCAAGTAGAGAAAAACGCTGCCTTTTTTCTCGTGATTAGAACTGGTCGAGTTACATGAAAAACTGTCATTTTTAAGGTTTCGAAAGCGATTTTCATATACAAAGTTTTCAAATACTGAACTTTTGAAATTAGGTGAAGTCCACTTTGTATCGTAGAAACCAATCAATATATATAATAAAGATCCAAAGAAGAGCAAGTCTTTTTACTTCATTCTACAATAAAAGTCGTTTTAGATTATCTTTTTCCGTTGCTGAGAAAATGGCTTTTTTCCAAAGCAGTGACAGAAACCAAGGAAACGCACGTGTATTTTAGAATTTTCACTACCAAATTTTAATATTTTCGTAATACCAAAGACATATTCACAATCTACATCAAAAACTGAGTTGAATGATGTCTGTTTCAGAATTTTTAGAGAACTTTGTTTTTTTTTGAATTTTTTAACCGAGCTTTTTGTTGAAAAAATCAGTTCCCCGAAATTTCTGAAACAGACATCATTCAACTCAGTTTTTGATGTAGATTGTGAATATGCCTTTGATATTGCGAAAATATTGAAATTTGGTGGTGAAAATTCTAAAATACACGTGCGTTTCCTAGGTTTCTGTCACTGCTTTGGAAAAAGGTCATTTTCTCAACAAAGGAAAAAGATAATCTAAAACGACTTTTATTGTAGAATGAAGTAAAAAGACTTGCTCTTCTTTGGATCTTTATTATATATATTGATTGGTTTCTACGATACAAAGTGGACTTCACCTAATTTCAAAAGTTCAGTATTTGAAAACTTTGTGTGTGAAAATCGTTTTCGAAAACTCGACCAGTTCTAATCACGAGAACAATGGCAGCGTTGATTTTCGAATTGCCGACATCTTAAAAAATCAGTGGTTAAAGTGACTTACTGTATTAAAATACCCAACATCCAACAGTCGGATGCTTTAAAATATAGTTGTTTTAAAATAACTTCAGGAGCCAAGTATTCTAAAAGAGATGATGTTTGTAACGGAAATAAGTGTTCACGTTGAAATTACCTGGAATCCCTACAACGTCCGTGTGTGTTTGAGGTTCAAATAGAGCTCCACTCATTTCGCTTATCTTAATATAGCCATCTTTTTCAATAAGAATATATTCAGGACACAATGTTCGACAGAGAATATTTCTTTTATGAATATATTCTAAAGCCAAAATAATTTGTCCTATAAAAAATAATATTTGCTTTTCGGTCATTTTTCCCAAATATCGAATATAATCAAACAGACTTCCTCCAAGTATATAATCTTTGACAAGAACAATATTATTCGCTGCTTTGAAATAGCTAACGGAATTAACTAAAATTTATCAATACTGTTACATTTTATCATAAAAAATGATCGTTTACCCATATGACTGAATAAAAAATGGACATTCTATTAAATTATATAATACTTTAAATTCATGCTTAGCTAACTGTTCATCGTTATTCATCGCGTTAGCTGTGGATACAAGAGAATTTTTAAATATTTTTGCCATAAAATAACCGGTTTTACTTATTTGTGTTGATCTATTTGTATAGAGAAGTAAATTTATAGCGTGTTCCGTTTCATATAGTAAATCACCATTTTCAAATTTAACAATTTCCGATAAAAATTCACTTGTTGGTTCTGGTGCTAATGAACATATTATTTCACTATTACTTGACCGAATGTGTAATGGTTTTATTTCACCTGTTTTTGGAGTTTTTTGTCTAATCCCAATTAACCCTTTAAAAATACTATTACCCATTAGAATGGATGTTAGCAGACAGAATGAATAAAATTTCCCGCTGATTGTGATATTTGAAAGAACGAAAACGGATTTAAAATTTTAAAAGATGTTCACGAACGACTTCTAAATCATCTTGATTTTTTGAAAATCTTTCGCTCTAGTAAATCCTTTTTGCCTACGCTTTTTTTTAGAGAGTGTCGATGAGACACGGTTATTCTCAACAAGATTTATTCTCTAATGTTGTTGCCAATTTCAACCGTTTAAATGTAATAACTATTCTCCTTGTTGTTGTTGTATTAGTCTACGAAGACAAAATTTATTTTTATTCTATATAGATGTGTTAAGCTTTTATGCTCCGATAATATAAGTTCTAAAACAATAACAATGACATATATTCATTGAACTGTCTCGTCAACTTTTATATTTTAGGTATTCGAGGTACATTCTATGTCGAAAATAAATCTTTTCATTCACTGAAATATTTTACTTTCTATTTTTTTGTCATAGAAAAAGAGAGAATGAAAGGAAAAAAATGTGTAACTTATTGAACAAAAAAAATTATTATTGTGGTTACTGTTTTTTTTTTCATTGATCTTTTTTTTAATCTCACATTCTTGCTTGAGTTATAAACGTTTATCTTATGTTTAATAGCGGTAAGAAAAACGAGTTTTTCACCTTCTGTTCTTATACTGTACCATTCATAATAAGGAGAAGAAATTGACAGGAGAAAGAATATCATTTTGATATGAAGACATATGTAATACTTCTTTGAATTCTACTGTACAGATGCTGCACAGTATGCTTTAAAGCCTTATAAATAAAAGAAGTAATATTTTTTTTCTCCTTTTTTTTTTTTCTCCTCTTGATAAAGTATTATACGTCGTCTGATGGCTTTATATGAATGACATTTCCGCTCTTTACTTTTTTTTTAAATTCATATAGACAAATTTATTCAGTTACAATGATCAGCAAAAAGAAAAATTTTGAAAGAAGAAAATTCGAGACGTAAACGTATATATGTATAGAGGGTAAAAAGAGAGAGAAAGGAAAAAGGTATAAATTTTATACATCAGTTTCTGTTGTCATTTGTGTTATTACTGCAAATATATTTCAAAATAGATCATGTATTCTGATAGGCTCTACTGTATATACCTGTCCTGAAATATTTCATGTATGTATTTTGATTTCAGAGAAATTTATTTCCTTCTCTTTTTTTCTCACATCAACATATAATTAAGGGTATTAATTTTTTTAATCACCAAAAAAGTGACTTTTAATCACCAAATTTATTAATAGTGAAATGATCACCAAAAAATAAGACTTTTGATCAACAAATCAATTAAAGAAAATTTAAATTAAAGAAAATATATATAAGAACAAGTATTTGAAATTTTATTGGTTTTTTTATGGTTTCTGAAATCTGATCGACGATATTGGCAAATATTAAACTGTAATTTTGCGTATTCTTTTGCTTCATCGGACGATGTAGCTGTGTGTAATACTTTCCATTCTTGCTTCGATATTTTTTTGATGGTATCGTCGTAGTTTAGGGCAGTTATTTATAGCTTTTATGAGTTGACAAAACCAATAAAATTTCAAAAAATTTAACTGTTGGCAATAGAATTTCAAAAACCGTTAGCTGTTGACATATTTCATATTACTATTCATAATTCCTCTTGTAAATACTTTCTTTAATTTAAATTTTCTTTACGTGATTTGGTAATCAAAAGTCACTTTTTTGGTGATCAAAACACATATTTCCCTATAATTAATATACATAACAAGTTTTAAATCTTCATAATTAATTAAAAACTTGATCGTATAAGATTCATACAATATATGATCGATTTCAATATAATATATGCATTAATCATATTAATACATCAAAGTCGAACAAAAAAAATGAAAACAAAACAAAATAAAACTTATTCAACAGTATTGAAAGAAACAATTTGTTCAATATAAATATTTGTTAATCAGTGTGTGTACTATTAAATATTGCTCATGTCTCATTGTGATATATAGATACAAGTATTTACAAAATCAAAAAGAGAAAAAGATATACTTGTTCAATCTATTTGTAACGACAATACTAAGATCCTCTATCAACAAGCTTCTATTTTTATTCTTTGTTTTTTGTATAGATATATGTATAGGGTAAATGACAATTGATGATGTAAGATTCTAGCAGTTGGATAAGAGTGACCTAAAGTGTTAACATGATATTATTGCGTATAGAAAGATCAGAAGTAAATTTTTGTTTATAAATAGAAGATTAAATATTAAGTCGTATATAAATGTTTCCTTGTATATTTTTAAAGCATTACTTGGCTTCGACAAAATCGACTAATTTCCATTTATTCACCTGTATGTTTTACTGACGATGCTACAGTTTTTATAATTACTATGCAATTATTTGTATATCAAATAAAACCGCAAGGACAACACATTTTCGTCAATGTAGATGCCATATAAGTATTAACAAGATTTTTATTGCTTTCGTTAGACGAAAATGTCATGTCTAAGCCACAAAACTCATGTCCACATGCGTACATCTATTTACATTTTTTTAACCTGCCAATGAACTAACTATTGCATTAGTTTTACTGGTTTTTTACCACCAGTATAACTAGACCATATCAACTTATACTAGCATAGTTAGTGAGAGAATGTAAATCCCTCCATGAGTTTTTACTAAACAATTCCTGTCTGCGCCACTAACTTATACGTGTCTTCTTTGTTTTATTCTTAAAGATTACATATAAAAATATTCCTTTGTTTTCAGATTTACATTGTGATACTTGGATACATCACATGTATAAAATGTGATACAAATCGTTGTAATTTGACTACCATAGTGGGCACTGTACGAATTTGAGTTTATCGCTTGTTTTCAATATGATAACACAGCATAATGAATGTGAGTGGATGAGATTAATCAGACTGTCCGGTCTCATAGCCCGAACGGGATATGTATCCCGATGAGGATATATATCCCATTCGGAATATAAAAATATATCCTGATCGGACTATGCTATTCTGATCAGGATATATATCCCGATCAGGCTATTTTGTATATTCCTACTGGAATTTAAAAAATCGCGAACGGTAGATCCTTAAACCAAGACCAGAGCACCCTTGATTCCGACTGAGTTTTTCATCCACTTTCTTATGCTATATTCACTTTTCTGCAACAATGTCACGATTTTTGCGGTAATGATTTTTTGTCAAAATGTTTTGCAAAAATATCCCAATCAGGATATAAATTTTCTGTGACGTCCTGTTCGGGATACAGGGTATATTCCGATCGGAATATCGCTCGTGAGACCGGACTGTCAGATCTTTTCTAACGTGAATATTTCGTTTATTATGTTTCTTTCGACAGATAATTCTGGTGGTGAAATTGCCATATGGTTGTTGATAACAGTTGGAGCTTTACTCGTACCAATAATCGTGATAGCCATTTGTTGTATTCGTAGACAGTAAGTATATTAATAGAAATTAATGATAAGAGTTGTTGCAGTTATGAGCAATTTGAGAGCGGTTGACCAAAAAATTAATTGTACAACGAATGTCTTAATAATAATTCAAAATGATTTTTTAGTAGACGAAGTTATTTTGCGAGATCAATATTAGTAAGTCGTGCGTAAAACTATTTAAAGCAACATAATTTGTACTGTTTAATGCTTCAAGAATTCTACTAAGCATAAAGGATATTATCTGGCTAATTTTGCATCTATTATATCTTTTGTGATTGAATATGTTCAAAGAATAAAATGCTTAATCTTCAACAATAACTTGCTCAATTATTTGTCATGTTCTTCTTTATTTCTGGTGCATGTATTCTGCTTCGATAAAACCTTTCGCATTACTAACAACAACTCGCATTAGGTAGATGCTTCTAAGACCCACTTGTGTTAAGCACAGTATGAACAATATTCTGACTGAATAATCTTAAAAATAAGTAATTAAATCGTTATTCTTACCAGGTCTTAATGATAATGAGTCTTATATCGTCTACTTTATTACATAGAATCGTAGTAATTTATTACATATAAAATCAAAAACTTGATGATTTTTGTACATTATACACTAATACACATTACTTTTCAAAGTTGTTGGAAATCGCTGCCATCTCGACCACGTCGCACAATTAATACTGTTAATGAACTAACACAACCACCATGGGTTAAATGTATTTATGATGTGTATGTAGGTTATCTGTCAATATATATAGTATAATATATATATAAAGAGAGAGAAATCTAGATTGGTTGTGGATGTGTGTGTGTGTGTATATACGATATACAGACTCAAAGCTTCATTGGATTTCAGATCGCTTTTTTGTTTGTTGTATGGTGAAGTGTATACATGTTTTGCTTTTGCTTATTTTGATTTATGTTTTCACATTTTTTTTCATATCAAATGCACCAAATCATGATTTTTAGTTCACTACTGCATGTTAATGGTGCTATAGTAATTATGTATTGTTTTAGCTTACTAAAAAATCCACCGGTAAAATTGATGGAGGACAGGACTACGACTACGACTACGATGAACAAATCGGCGGTAACGGGTCTACGGTAATTAGCACGAATCATCTTTGTCTTGAAATTACATTAACGAACATTCGTCTATTCTTCTTTAGTACGTATAGCGGCCCATATAGTGGATCACATGAAAAAACTGATTCCATTGTCTCTACACCAAAACAAAACTGTAACACTAATTTATCAAGCATTAATAATCTAGATTCATTGTCAAAAAATGGTTCATTAAAAAAACAACATGTACATTGGCCAGATGGTCGTTCAATTATTTCTCCTAAGCAAGACTGTAATAATGAAACATTAAATATTAACAATAATAATAACGATATTTCCAATAGATCATCTGATTTTATTTTAAATGATTTAAGAACAATTAAAAACAAACAATTTTCTCCAAAAAAACAACTGTGTCCATTGAATACTGAACATTTGTATGAAAATGGTGGTATTATTTTAAATATAACAAATTTTGACTCGCTATTAACTCGTCCAAACTTACCAACAGTACCATCAACTCTATCGTATCTAATTCAATCAGCTGTACTGCCCATCAGTTCAACACTCGCTGGACGTACTCTAATCAACTAATCTCAATCGTTCGTAATTATCAACATATGATAGTATAGTCTAATAACACACTGCATTACTCTGTACATAATTTTTCAATGGAATTTCACGTTTTTCTTTTGAGTGAATTTCAATTGGTTTAAGAGTATAGTGTAGCAAAACAAAGAAGTGCTAGTAGTAAAATACATATCTGCGAGTAAGTAAATTAATTCCAAATTGAGAGAAACCTATGCATAGTAAAAAATTCACATCAAGTAGATTGATAAAATCAAGCAACAAAACATTTTGCGTGATTTTATCAATCTACTTGACGTGTAAGTATATTCATTCGTAAGATTGTATACGAAATTCATATACAATCTTATGAATATCGTCTTATTTATTTTCAAGACTGTTTTCAAGTTCTTACATTTAAACAGCTAAAAAATCAAGTTATAATCTCAGTGAATTTTTTCCTCTAACTAATTGTGTAAATTTTATATTAATTTTCGAGCTCATTTTTGTTTTCTTTTTTTAAAAATTTATATATATCTACATGTTTTACATGGTCTTAATTATATAACTTACGCAGTGGTTGACAGTCTCTCATGTCAATTACGAAAGCTTTATTTGTCTCATCAGTCGTAGTTTAAAACGGACTGATCATTTACGTATTATCGATTAGTCTAGAGTATCTTTGAATATTCTAAAGGTTTTTTGCAAATATTTTGTTGAGAGTTAGTTTAAACGAAAGAAATATACTGAATGTCAAATTCTTAAACTTTTTAAAACCTGTTGTTCAAAACATGACACAGTGGGCATCCAGGTGGGCATTTAGCGAAAAACAAAAGTGTTTATTTTTCAATTCCTTTCAATAGATAAAAAAAGTCCGCTTTGAGGACTACTCCTAAAAGAAATTTTCTAATCGCTTATAGTGATGAGAAAACGCAGTCTGAAAAATATCATCAAATCTGTAAGTACGAGCGAATCTCAGTTTTTTTATATAAAAACTGAATGTCGAAAGATTAAAACTGAGTCTGGAAATCGAGTTGGATTTCTCAACTATATGATAGAAAAATTTTTTCATTGCGTAGCAATATTTAGGACGAAAACTGTTTTCCAGAGAGCGGCGGCAAAACATTTTCGTACACTCCAAAGTTCTAACTCGATAATAAAACAAGTTTTGGACAAGCCGTTTGCAACAGAATATTGTCCGCTCTCTCTAGTATAGTTGTAGACAAAAAACAGCTAGAAATATTCATTGTTACTCTTTGTAGTCCCATTAGACTAAACAGTGAACTTTCGGATTAGCAAAAATTTTTCATACAGTTAATAAAAATCTTGTTTTACGTTGTATAAGTACCGAAAAAAAACACAGAAAACTACATCAAGAGAGCGCAAGTTACATTTCAGTAAAAAAATAATTTTGGAAAGTGTTTTTCTTCAGGGTAAAAACGCGACTTTGCCATACTCTTTAGTGCGTTTAAGTGTTTTGAAAAACACTTTCCAAAATTATTTTTTTACTGAAATGTAGCTTGCGCTCTCTTGATGTAGTTTTCTCTGTTTTTTTTTCGGTACTTATACAACGTAAAACAAAGATTTTTATTAACTGTATGAAAAATTTTTGCTAATCCGAAAGTTCACTGTTTAATCTAATGGGACTACAAAGAGTAACAATGAATATTTCTAGCTGTTTTTTGTCTACAACTATACTAGAGAAAGCGGACAATATTCTGTTGCAAACGGCTTGTCCAAACCTTGTTTTATTATCGAGTTAGAACTTTGGAGTGTACGAAAAATTACATTTTTCAGAAGAAAACGAACTGTAGTGTAATGCTTTTCTACATTTTCCCACAGTATTAGTCTTACTGGAACTTTGCACATATCTTCTGCTTTGTATGATACGCCTATAAGATTAGCATATCAATGCATATTTTTTTTTGCGAAATATAGATCTTTTAAAATAATCAGGGTTTGTGGACTGAAAGCTTATTTTTTTCTAATTTTAATACATTTTTAAGGAAAACGAAAGTAATATTCGGAATTACCTCACCAAACTACATAGAATGTGGTATGAAGCAATAAATTTTAGAGAATAAAACTATTTTTAAAAGTTCTCGGCTGAAAAGCCATTCCTTCAAAGAACTTTTTGAAAAAAATTGTGAAATTTAGATGTTCTTTTAATGAAGTAGATATTTTAATCAAAGGAGAATCACCATGTTAGACAATAACAAATGGTTTATTAACAAGAAAACTGCTTGTTCATGTGTTCTGTTAAAGAATGACTATTGTTGACGAATCCTTATCTAAGTGTTTGTCTACAGATAGTACTGTGATGACATTTTAAGTATATTTTTGTTACGACGACTCTGCTTGCAATAAAGGATCTGTTTTCAATCCCACATGATAATATGATAGATAGCCTAAAAGTCAAATGCGGCCAAAAAGTTTTAGTATATGTGTACGAAAGATGATGGTGAAAAATAGAGAACCATATTATTCATATAATCTATGATGTTTCGTTTTACAAAATTAATAAACGTCTAAACTCTAGAAATGGTATGCAAAGATACATCTATTATTTACACTCTTTTATATTAAATTTTCCTTGTATTTTCTTTTAATGTTTATTTAGAAATAAGATAATAAAACGTACGTTTGCAAATCGTTTATTTAACTGTAGAGAAATAAAATAGAGAAAAATAGTTTTAAATAATTTGCTTTTTACATATACAAATCTCAGTTTTGATACGTAACAATTTTACTGTAAGAATATATCTTATGGAGCGGTAGACACTAGTCCAGCAACACAAACTCCATTTATTGATCAGCCACTGTAAGAATATATCTTATGGAGCGGTAGATACTAGTCCAGCAACACCTTTTCCTAATTGCTGACCAGCCACTGTACTTTCAAGAGGTTTAAAACCAATTTCTTCTACAGGGATTCCAAACTGACGTAATTTTGCTTCATATGTACGTAAAATGTCATTGTGAGCCTAAAAAAACAATATATTTATTACACTGAAAATTTTTGAGATAAATATACGTGCTTTGCAAACTCTAGCCAATTCATATTGAAGATCACGTATGGCTGTATTTTTTGAATCTAATACTTCCTGAAAACATAAAAAATTAAGTAATGCTATTCATATTAAACATCAGCAAACAAAAAACAAACCTCAAGTTTTCTTGTCACAACAGATAATCCGGCTGGATCCAAATTCGAAGCAGCTAATACTTCATTTAATTGCGCTTCTTTCTTCTCGAGACTATCCGCCAATGTACTCAATTTCTTTTCTAATAATAAATTTTTCAAGCTACTCTTTTGTTGAACTTCATTGATGGCTTTAATAAATTTATTATACAGTTCATCTCGTTCTTTTTGAATCTAAATAAGATAATATCTTAATTTCATTTTTCTTCCTTCGAAATAAAAAGATGAGATAAACATACAATTTCAAAACGTTGTAATAATACTTCATACTCCCATTTCAAGTTTCCCTGTTCTTTTTCACATGTTTTCAAACGATTTTTTGTGCTCTAAATAAATACATACGAGAATTGAACTTATGCGTCTAGATTTTCAGATAGTTTAGATGAGTGTATACAGTTTTGTTATATGTAACATACCGCTAATAGAGCTTTATCTTTTTCGTAATTTTCCGATCGTTTTCGTAATTCTTCTGTTTCTCGTTTGGCCGCTTCTAATGGTTCTCTCATTCTTCTGTTTTCACTTTCAACTTCGTTCATGCGTTTTTCCAAACGTTCTTCTTCTTGTTTCTTCTTTTCAATTTCACTCTAAAAAAGAAAAAAACCTTATTTACAAAATTGAAAATAAGCCGTATTCAACGTCACCTTCATTGTATTGATTAAATTCAAATTATTCAATGTTATATCATTATAATAATTTTTAATATCGCTAAATGCTTTTTCGTGATTACGTAACAAATCGTTAATTTGCTGATTTTTTCGTTCTTCAATTTCATGTATTTCAGTTTTACGTCTTAATTCTAAGTCTTCACGTAAATCACGTAGTTTTTTCTCATATTTCTCTTCAATTTCACGTGCTTGACGAAGAAAATCTTCACGTAATTTTGATATATACGATTCATTTGTCTAAACAAAACGAGAAAACAGTAGAGGAGTTTATGATGATATGAATGATTGATCAACAATACACACTTTTTTCAAATTTCTGACTACTTCTTGTTGTGCCAATTCTTGATCTTTCATTTGTACTTTTAATTCTCGTTTCTCTTTCCATGTGCTATTTTCGGCTTCATTGTGTGTTTCTTGCGCTACTTTTAATTCAGCTAATGTTTCAGCTTTCAATTCAGCTATATTATTTTGTTGTTCATATAATAGATGTTTGACTTTTTGTTTGTATACCTAAATGTTCATTAAATAGTATAACTTGTTAATAACATTTTAAATACAATTTTTTACTTACTTTGATTTCTGCTTGATGTTGTTCTTCAGCATCTTCTAATTCACGATCTTTATTTCTTAATTCAGCTTTCTTCTCTTCTAACTGTCGTTTAGTTATTTCCCAAAATGTACTTATTCTATCACGTTCTAATTGAAAATAATTACGTTCTTCTCGTTCACGATCTAACTCTTCACGTATACGTCGAAGATGATCTTCTAGTTCTTCTTTGGACATTTCTTGTACGGATACTCCATCGATGATTGTGGGCGCTTTGGGAGACTTCTTTTTCTTTCCCTTGCCTTTTCCTTTTCCACCCTAAAATTGAAGCAAAAAAAGAAATTCAGTGTAAAGAATACACCACATAATGCATGAAAAAACGTTTTTCTAGCACAATAAACTGGAACACAAGTACAGTTTCAAGCAAGTGCATTTTTAGTATTCTCTCAATCTGCTACAGATTTAGCGTTTATCATTCCTTACCATTTTTGACGATTGAAAATAAATCAATACACAAACAAATCTAGAAATACACAGAGACTCAAAGCTTCTTTTCTTGAAAAACGAGCTTTCGACCGAATATATTTACAGCTTTGAATTAGTAATAATCGACTATTTAATTCAAAGTGGTCGATTTTACACGAATTTTACAAAACAAACTATACATAATCTACGCACAGTTATATGTTTTGTATCTGACAATTTTCTCCTCAGCTTATCATCTTTTGACTCATGATTTCTACATTGTAAGCAAAAATTCTCTGAAAAACCAAACTGTAAACCTAAAATTTCAAACTATAGAATACTAATTTTTTGTGTTAAAACCGATTGCAGATTCGACTTTACCACGATCGATTATCTTGTACGCGATTAGTTTTGTATCGCAGTACTTTAGAAAAATATTTTCTCATGGTTTTGTTTAAAAATTTTTCAAAAAAGTTACTGTATAGGAACACAGGCAAAACGGTGTCGAACACTTTTTCTAAACTACTCCGATCCAAAAGTAATCGTGTACAAGATAATCGATCGTGATGAAGACGAATCGTCAATCGGTTTTGACGGAACTAGCTTATAAAAAATTTTTCGATCCGGTGATATGCTTTCCAAAAATAAAATTTTATGTACAGTTTTGTACTTAGAAACCTTGATGGCGTCTACAGCTAAAAGAAAGAACAAGATAAGCTATTTCATTCTGAGAACTAGCTACAAAAAAAAATATGAAATTATATCCCTAAAAACAGACAAAGGAATATGATGACATCAGTTTCTTTTTTGTAGTGATTCAAAAGCGACGGTAACGAAAGTAGAATTCTTTCAGGTATCGAGTTTAACGTTCTCTGAGCAACGGTACCTAAAATAAATAATATTCGAAAAAAAGTGGCTGATGATTATTATTTTTGCGTTAAAAGGAAAAATTTAAGTAATAGGACTATTTTCTTTGAGTGTAACTAAACAAATTATTCTAATGTGCATTTTCATGTTACTAACTCTATTTCATTTTCGTTGGTTGAATAATATACCGTATCATGAGTGAATAAAAGTGAATGAAACGGAAACCAACAAAGAAAGAAAGAAAGAAAGAAAGAAGAAAGATGGGCTGCCCCTTTTTTTTACTGAGAAACTGAACTGAACTGAGTTTCCGAGTCATTAGATCTTAAATTTTTCTATCATCCAATCAGAAAAGTTCAGTAAAATCAGTTTCAGTTTTTAAAAGGGTCAACCAAAAGATGAATAGAATACATAAATAAAAATATTAGCATAGGTGTATCAAGGAAAAAAGTAAATCAATCACCACACTTAGATGTCTATACTTTCATTGCCGTCTGTCTATTGGTATGCTCGTACCGGATGCTTTAAAATGCAATTTTTGGTTGTTGTTTGGCAAGAGTCACAAGACTTGTCGTTTTAACTTAACTTGCCTCATTTTCTTTTAATTGTACGCGAGACTTTTGAATTACATAAAAAATGTTTATCAGCACTGATGGGCATAAATATCAAACTCTTTTCTCAGTCTTCGTTTTACTTTATCAACATATGTCTTGGTAGACATCACAGTATACTGGGGGTCGTATCACGAAAAAACTTAAGTCACCGACTTAAGTCGGGACTTAAGCCTTAGATGAACTTAAGTTTAAGCCTTACTTAAGTTCGAGGACTTAAACCGTATCACGAACAAAACTTAAGTCGG